AGTGGCGTCTGGAGCAAACTTAGAGATGTCTAAGCACATTTCACACGCCTGCTTGGAAGCAGGAGCCCCACTTGTACTTAGGACAAGCAAGCAATGAGTCCAAAGGCCCAGTAGAGTATCCTGAGGATCTGTGTTTAATCTCAGCCTTGTTTAGCCTTAGCCAGTGTTCATGGTCCTGGGAGCTTGAAGTCTAGACCTTGGGCTTACTTGGAATCAGGCCTCAGCACCTGAAGTCCCTACATCCCCCTACTGGATAGTCTTGAGAACTGGGCCTTCTCCAGCCTGGGGGTGGGGGGTGGGGGGGTGGGTTCCCCTGGGGCTTAAACTCAGGGCCTAGCTTCTATCCCTTAAGGTTTTTGGGTTTTTGTTTTTGTTTTTTTTCCTCTCAAGCCTGGTGCCTACCACTTGAGCCACAGCTCTGCTTCCAGCTCTTTTAGTGTTTAGCTGGAAAGTCTCACACACAGACTTTCTTCCCTGGGTTGTTTCCAAGCTGTGATCCTCAGATCTCAGCCTCAGGCAAGTGTTCGTGTTCAGCCGTCTCCTAGCCAATGGCCTGGGTAAGAGAGTGCCCTTACCCAGTGAACCGAGTCACACACAGGTTTTGTCTAGGTAATAACAACGTGTCTCATGGCCCTAAGCAAGGAATGTGGGGGGGGGCAGGCAAGTAGAATGTGGGCTTCCTTCATGAGTGAGCTTCTGTTCATATAGCACAGACATGCCGGAAGAGGTACCCCTAGTTAGGGATGGGGTCTGGGTCTTGTAGAAACAGTGGGGGTTGCTGTTTCCAAAAAAAAAAAAAAAACCCTGTTGGTGCAGAATATACAGCTTCTGCACAGCCTGGCTGCCCCTGGCAGACTGCTAACGAGTGAAAGACACTACCCAAAAGGACATCAATGGTCACAGCACATGACCCAGTTGATGGCTAGTCAAGTCAATATGGAAGTGACTTGTTACAGTTAGCTTCATGTTGGGGAAACTCAGCATGGTATTGTAACTATTACCTTTAAAGAGAACCAGGTGAGTTGTGAATGTAATACGCAAGGACTCTGCACCAGAATTAGGAATCCCAAGGGAATCTAAGCCGCTGCAGAGATTGAACATCTTGGACGGCACCTCAGTTGGGTGTGTTTTTCAGGGCACAGGACTACTTTCATTAAGAGGAAGGAGCTTGCCACTTGGGCAAGTAGACCTACCACTGGCAGGGCCTTCCTGACCAGCATTCCTCCACCCTACAGGTATTAATAGCTTGCACAAAATCAAAAGAATCTGTGGCCAGATGAACTTGGTTAGCCCATGGCTAGCTTGAGTCAAACAGGAGCTTCTCTGAGCCTTTTATGTGCTGCGGAGGGGCCTGGATGACATTTCTCCCAAACTCACTGGTAGAGCATTTCTAGACTTCTTGCTGCCACACTTCTGCAAACCTGAGTCAGGAGCAGCGTCTCTGAGACGTGAGTGTGTGCATGGTAGTTCCCTGGAGAACTTGGTAAATTGCAAGAGATTGGATTTCTGACAAGGGCCAAGCAAGGCTGGTAGACCAGGGACTGCATTGGAGAACCACAGGACTGGACTTACCCATCTATTCAGCACTTGCTATTCATTTCTCATGACCCTTTCTATTTTTTTTGTGATCTGTTGTTTTAGAGATGATATACAGCGGGGTTACCTTTACATACAGCAGGTAATACGCACACGTCCTTTTGCATAGTGTCACCTGTTCCCTTATTCTCTCCATCCCCTCCTCCCTCCACCTAGGAGGTGCATAGCTCACTTTCCTCAGTGTTCAGTGTGCTCTGCTGCTGCACCTTTTCACCCTTTTTTCTCTGATTCTGTGCCTCCCCCACCCTCTCACAGATGTGCACATGAGTATAAGGCAAAGAATAGAGTCAAGCCACAGGGTGCCAGTGGCTCACACCTGTAATCCTAGCTACTCACGAGGCTGAGATCTGAGGATCGCGGTTCAAAGCCAGCCCAGGCAGGAAAGTCTGAGACTTATCTCCAATAAACTACCAGAAAACTGGAAGTGGCATTGTAGTCCAAGTGGTAGAGCGCTAGAGAGTTCAAGCCCCATGACCAACCAATAAAAAAAAAAAAATAGTCATCAGGAAAAGAAAAAAGTCCTTTGTTTCCACATCTTTGAAGTTTGTTTCAGTATGTATGTTATTTTATATCCGTATGTTGAGGCTCTTTGGTATGGCACCTTTGTCTTTTGAAAAGCAAGAACGATAATGGGACTTAGTCACTACAAAGTGGCTTGTACAGGACAAGTAAAGGATTCCTTTCTTCTCTGGCTGCTATGGAGGAGGGAAATGGTGCTTTGTGGAGGGAGGAAGTCAGGGTCTTCCTGCCTTGGCATTGATACTGGGGACATCGCTTCTGTGCACCTTAGTTTCCTAATCTGTAAATGGAAGAAGCTGGAAAATGTTTTTGTGGTTATTTCACTTTGTCTGGCATCCCATTTTGTCTGCTTCAAGTTACTTCCTAGGTATCTCTTGGTCCTGTCCCCATGTCACTGTGCCGAGGTGGGCACCTGCCAGGGATACGGCATCTCAGAAGAGCATCCTGAAGAAGTGTGGGATGGAATCTAGTGCAGAGTGTCCGTGTTGCTCAGAGTTCACAGTGGGGGTGAGGTGCCTGGCACAGACTAAGTCAGGATCGGTGCTGGTCGAATATAATCTTAGAGGGTCTTAGGGGACCTCAGCTGTGGACATGCTTGTGGGTGTGTAGGGGTGGGTATGTGTGTGAGAGAGAAAGAGATATCTCACATAGGTTTCTCTGCAGACAGGATGAAGCATCGGGATCATACTTCCCATGGAAGGCAGTTCCTTATTATATGCCCAGAATGTGTAGTCAGATGCCCTGCTGAACTGTCTCTAAAGAGTCTTCAAGATACATCTGAAGTAGCCTCCAAAAGTAACCTGGGCCCCCAAGCCACAGAACAGCTGGTCCCTCACGCTGCAGTGATTGGCACCAACACAAACAAGGAGTTCACCTAGCCATCTTCTAGTGTGCTCAGCAGGTGGGCGCTGCCCTCTGCTGGCAGAGGGCACTTGCTGGAGGAGCCGGAAGAAGAGGTAGCCTTAGGTGTCTGGAGACACAATAGTGACTCAAGCTTGGACCACAGAGAGATGATGAGTTTTGGGGTCCCTCCTTCCATCCACCTACCACAACGTGCACCCCAAAATTGCCAGCCCACGATCTCACCCCATCCTCCACTGCAGCTCAGCTGGACTCTGCCACTCAGAAGCAGCCCTGCCACCAGGTGGCGCTGCCAGCTCTGGCACGTGTGTGATTGAGAGCTTGAGGCTGTGGGTGTGAGGCCTAAGCCAGACCTAGACAGGCATGGGGGGGCGGGGCAGGGGGCGGAGGCTGGTGGCCAGGGGCTTCCTTCTTGGGTCACCTTCACCCACCCCAGCCCCACGCCACCCACTTCACAGCTGTCCCTCAGCAACCCACCTAATGTCTCCTCTGAAACTCCCCTTTCGGCACCCCTGCCCCACACCTAGGCCACACTACCACCACCGCTCTACACTGCCCCAGTGCACATGAGCCACCCCACTGTGTTGAGGAGCCCAGTCCCCAGCGCCCCGCCCCCCACGGGCCCAGTGCCCGGCCCCCCTCCCCCTCCCCCTCCCCTTCCCACCTGCATCAGGAAGGCAGCTCCGACTCTGCTCTCCACTTAGTGAGCAAGTGGACTGAGGCCCACGGCCGTGAGCACGGTAGGTACTGCGCCCCATGTCTCCTCTGTTGAGTCCCTCTTTGCACCCCTTCCTCCCTGTCCGCTCCCCCTGTATTTCTCTCCTCTCAGCAGTGGTGCTTACCTAACTGCAGGGAGCCTTCCTCCCTCTTCCTTCATCTTCCCTGCTGCAAGAGTGTGGACACCATGGTCGCACAGCCGATAGGAGCGGAGCCTGTGGTGGCTCCCACACAACAAACAGCCTTGTCCCCTGCACGGGCTGCTACCTGCCGGCTGCTCGTGCCTGACATCCCCAGAGGAGACCTACACAGATGGCCCGGCGGCTCGAGGGGGTTACTGCTGTCAGACGCAGCTGAGAATGGATCCTTGGGCCTGCCAAGCCCTGGTGTCTGTCTCAGTTGGGCCAGAGACTGAGTCTGGCTCCGCATCCAGAGCGCACAGGCCCTCTGAGCAGGCCCTTGAGGCACGTGGAGCAGGGCAAGGTTAGCGGCTCTGGTTCATCCTAGTCCTGGATCCGACCTGGTGGGGCTGTGTGGCCATGGGCACTTGCAGCACCCACGTATGAACAGGTGGGCAGTGGGCTTTTGGCAAGCCCTGAGCCCTGGGGTTGACGGTGTTGGTTGCATCTAAGCCCCATGCAGCCAGAACGGCTCCTGCTTCATCCTCATGCTTCTATGTTTGAATAATGCTTTCTCCTGCCCCATGGGAAGGCGCCACTGCCGCCAGGCCCTCTGCTTTCCATGTCATTTCTCTTCCACTCGTAGCAGGCTTCTGGTGCTGCTCAGTGCCGGGAAGCTGGCCTTCTAGTATACAAAGAGCAGCCACAGGCAAATCCTGCCCCCATGCAACAGATTAGGGGCAAAATGGGCAGGAGGCGGATGCTTGTCACGGACAGACTGCTTAGGCTGTTGGTTCTCTTGGAACCTTCTACCAAGCAGCCAAAGCAGCCTTCACTGGCAGTTGTGTCATGCTGGCCTACTATAGAGATCTAAAAGAAGCCAGGCACTGGTGGGTCATACCTGGATTCCTAGCTACTCAGAAGGCTGAGATCTAAGGATCTTAGTTCAAAGCCAGCCCACGCAGGAAAGTCTATAAGATTCTTATCTCCACTTAATCACCAAAAAAGCCACAAGTGGAAGTGTGGCTCAAGTGGTAGAGCAAAAAGATGATCAGGACTAGCACCTGGTACCTCAGTTCAAGCCCCAGGACCTGCACCAAAAACCAAAAAAAAATCTACAAGAAGGGAGAGCTGCGTCTCACCCGCGCGTGCTCTCTGCCAAAGACTGCAGGTCCCACCAAGTCAGAATCCTAAACTGAATCTCAAGTTGTGATCGGGCCACTGTCAGGAAAGGGTCATGCCCTGCCAGCCACATGCTCCTCAAGAAACCGCAAGGAAGGCAGCTGCCCTGGCTTGGGTGCTTCACCAGGCTGGACTGCGCCTCCAAATGGCTTTTGGCGTGGAAGGGGGAGGCGAGGAGGAACTGGTACTGGCGAGGCAGGTGCTTCCCTGAGAACTCGGACTGTGTGTTCACAGGAGACAGCAGCGTCCTGTGGTGCCTCCCGGCCCCTCCAGAAGTCCCGTGAGAGCTGGTGTAAGCTGGTACCGTTGAGGAGCAGTGCGAAGCTATGAAGATCATGAGGTGGGACCCCTGGCTCATGGCGCCTCCTGTGTCTTTTCAGATGCGCTGGCTCCCTCCCTCCGAGGCTACTTCTCAGGGCTGGAAGTCCCGTCAGTTCTGCTGAACGCTGTGTGAGTACTTGCTCTGTGCAGGGCATGTGTATGCATGTGGTCCACGCTGCGTGTCTGCAGACAGCAGTGGACACTTCTACACACTCAAACCTTCTTCACTATCCTGGTTGTTCATCTTGGAAAACCTTGAACTCTCAGCTGGCAAGGTATCTCCCTCAAATGAAGGTTTGCCTCTTGGAGGAAAGTGAGGGATGGGGACTGTACTGCTTTGGGGGGTTGGTTGGTTTTTTAATGTTAAAATCGGATTCTTGTGCATTGAACTTTGTAACTAAGCCATCAGCGCCAGTTTCTAGAGAACACGTTTAGGAAATTTTTTATAGAATGGTGGCATAGCTGCTCTCAGCATTAAACAAAAGCCTTGCTCAAGCTGAAAGGAGTAAGTCATGCACTGAAATGCTTAAGTTTCTCTTATGCTGTTCCTAGTAGGCTTGCCTTAAGTGTTTTGAGTTAGGTGGTTGTTTTGTTGTTCTGGGGTTCGAACTAAAGGCCTTGTGCTTGCTAGGTACATTCTCTCTACCACTTGAGCCATGTCCCCGGCCCAAGATTTCTTTTTGTCTTGATGGGTACAGTGTTATCCACTTTGGCTTCCCGCTGCCATCGGGCACCAGAAAATACTTGTTACTTCATAAAGCCATCAGTTGAATTTTCCTTATAAATGGGGAAGTGATAGCATTTCTCCAAAACTTCTAAGGGCTTTCTGTAGTTTAGTGTGGTCACTAGATCCCTGTCAAGGGCAGGGTAGCATAGCTCGGTGTGTGATGTCAATGAATTGTCAGAAAAATGAGAGGAGGGTGGAACAGACCTTCATCCTGTTGGAAACATGGGAGACTCTTGGCAAGCTGTGTGCCCATGTGTCAAACACTAACATTTTAGTCATTGGCCTTAGAGAACTTCTATTTTAAGATTAAAATAGTTCCAAGTAGAACTGATACTCCATTTCTTCCCCCATCGCTACAGCTGAGTTCCATGTGCTGGGAGAGGTCACTTGAGGCGCTAGGTCCTCTGTGGAAAGAACTGGCCTCTGGCGACCTGGGTTCTAGTCGAGTGGAGATGAGTTTGCGAGCACTCTTGGCTGAAAGGTAACAGGAATGACGGATGCCAGAGCTGGCCTCGTGAAGCTCAGTGCCCTCTTATGGGAAGGAAGAGCTCTGAATGGGATTTTGAGAGTGCTGGCTTTTGTTTTCCACAGGCAAGTTGCCCCTTTGGCCCAAAGTGTCCGTTGGTGGGCCTGGGAGCTGCTGCGTGGCCTCCCTCAGTGTAGTTCTGAGCTCAGCATTTCCAGCTGAACTCCTGCCCTGAGTCACAGGGAGGCCTTTGTTTTCCGAGGAAGAGCTTCACCCAGCACGAGCCAGTGAACCCAGACCAGCGGCACAGCAGAGCTGGGCAGGTGCTCTAGGAACAAGAAGAATATGGTGATTTCTATGAGTGAAGAGCCTTCAGTATGGAGATGTCTGTTGGTGGAGAATGTGTGTAAATGCTGACACAGGGTCTGAGGAAGGGCTTTGGGGCTTTTAAGCTTTTATATATAGGCTGAAAGGAAGGCAAGCTTGATTTTCACTCAAAGATCCTAGGCTGGGCATTAGTGGTTCATGCCTGTAATCGTAGCTACTCAGGAGCCTGAGATCTGAGGATTGTGGTCCAAAGCCAGCCCAGGTAAGGATGTCCATGAGAATATCTAAAACTAACCACCAAAAAAAACAGAAGCGGAGCTGTGATAGAATACTAGCCTTGAGTGTAAAAAGTAAAGGGACAATGCCAAGCCCCAAGTTTAAGCCACAGTACCATACCAACACTTGAAAAAGTAAAAGAAAAGCATCTGGTCTTTATCTGTACCAGTACCAGGCTATCAACTCGGGGTCTCGTAAATACTGGGCTTACTTGTTTGTCTGGCACTGTGCTACTTAAGCTATGCCGCCAGCCCAGCTTTTTTTGCTGGAATTTTCTGTCGCAGCTGGCCTCATACCTCACTCTTCAGATTGAGCTTCAATAGCTTGAATGATAGATTTGCGCCACTAACACCTGGCTCAACTCACTGTAATTATTTCCAGTTCATTATACTCCAAACCCATTAAGAAAGCCTGTTAGCCAGAGGCAGCAATGGCTACCAAAATAGTTCTAGCGATTATTCTCCTTTCAACGTACAGATCTGAATCAAAGCATACAAGTCTCCTGAGGATAGCTTATCATGGACTCTAGGCCAGACTTTTACCACTGTCCGGAGAAAGGCAAGAAGGGAGGTGAAGAGGGAGTGTGCGTAATAGTACCCATTACTGCTGCACTCAGAATGAGGTCCACTCAGTTATGGAGCCATTGCTGCAGCTCTGGTCTCTTGCATCAAATTCTTTCCAAGACTGCTAATACTCCAAGCTACGTAATCCTAGGGAAATGTAAATTAGAATTGGAAACTGTGGTACTGATGAGCTAATATAAACACATTATGGCAAAACAAGTTTGTCAAAAACAAACAAAAGGCAGGTGCTCTCCCCCCTTCCCCCCCTCCCCCAGTGCCACTGTCCCAGCAGCCTCCTCCATTCCTGGGAGAATTCCCCCACGCGTGGTCCCTGCAATCACATGAGGGCAGAAAAATTGCCAGGTATCAGACACCACACCCTGCGTGTCACTCACTCCTGGTGTAATGGAGTGTCAAGTGACATTTTTCAAATCCTAAACAGTCCACCGCCTGCTCTCTCAGAGGCTCTTGGGGTTTTTAATTTATCCGTTCTGGCCTCTTAGTGCTAAAGAGAAAGTAATGGCTAGAGATGTCAGCTAAAGTAGCTCCTAAGTAAACATGCGTGTGTCTGCTGTGTGCAAGATCCATTCATTCTGTGTCCCCTACAAAGTCCAGGGTTTAACACAATTGTGGTGTTCATGTCATACACAAGACCACCGTGCCAGGTGCACATCTCCTCTCTGTCCTGGTGCTGAGTGTGCTGAGCATGCGGCCTGATGGATGGTGCTCAGTCTGTCTGCATGCTGTAGCTCCCCATCACTCAAGTTTTGGTAATGAGTCAGCCGTGTGGCCCAGAACCGCAGAGTGCGCAATACTGTGTGGAAAGGATCAGTTTGCCATACACATGAAGAGCCAGAGGAGCAAGCTTTTTGTCCTGCCCTAGGTCATCAGAGTCACACAGCCTTCCTGGTGGGATTGGGGGCAGTGTAGATCGGGAATATTCTTAGGACTCATGAGATTTCTCAGCCATGTGCACCAGCTGGCTGTAGCTGTGCTCTGCAAAGGTAGCGCCCTGTGTGAGACCTGGACATTGAGTCTTGGTGGCCCAAGAGCTCAGCTCAGCTCAGCTCAGCCCACCTGCCTAACCCTCCTGTTCCCACCACTCTTCCATCAGCTTTTCAGAGACATGCAGGTGGCTTGTGCGCTCCGCTTGAAAGAACGAATGCATCTGGGGGTCATCTCAGAGCCCACCAAGGCAAGCCCACTGTCTGCACAGCCATGGTTGTCATCGTTTCAAAGTGGGGGGCTTAGGAACCCTAGGCTCCTGAGAATGGAGGGTCGGGGTTAGGGAGCCTTCCTGATCAACTTAAACCCAGAGACCACGAGTCAGTGTGACTCCTTCAGCCAGCAGCATTGCACCGGCGAGAGGCAGGGCTGGGCGAGCATGGGGAGCTGCTTGCTTTTGTTTGTGAGGGCGAATATTTGTGTCCTTAAATAACCCAGCTTTTACCAGGAAACTAGATTCATGCATACTCATCTGTAAGTGTCTTCCCAGTGGAACTCTAGGGAAAGCGTTTTTTCCCCTTAATTCCAAGAAGACACAAGTCCAGGAGGGCAGCCTTCCTTCGGGCTCCCCAGCTTGCCCTCCTTCGGCCTCCAGTGCCAACCACACCTTCAGCAGTGTCCAAGTCCGAGTCCAGGACTCAGAGTTAGGTTTTGTTACTCTCCATCACCCGATCCAGGAAGCCCTGCGTGTTGGAAACTGTCTCTCTCAGACAGGGTTAAAAAAAAAATCAGCCTGACCAGGATGGAAGTTTGAGAACTACTAGGGGGCAGAAGCATTGGTACTGACAGGCTTGGAGCTAGGCTCCTTTCCTTGGCACCAGGAAGTCTGTGGCCAACAGCTGGCCCAGAAACAGGCCTGCAGGTGAAGAGTTTTTGCTGAGTTTCTGCTCCTTCTTATTTTAAATGCTGAGCCCTCCTGTGGCATCGAGGACACGTTCACAGATGTGCTCCCTTTGGGCTTTGTTTTCCAGAAGGTGCTGGGAGCAGAACTTAGTCACTGAGCTGTATGACAGCACACAACTCTCCTATGGCCTGCGGCTGTCCAAAGCTGTTTGGGCCTGAGACAGCTCCTCGCACACCCCCAGGACTGGTTGCCATTCTGAGCCTGTGTGCAGCCCCAGAGTGTTTGGGAAAGTGCTCAGGGCTAGCACACAGTCCGAGGGAATCTAACCACATGTCCACTACTTCCTGTGTGGGCCCCACAAGCACCTTACACTGCTCCACCGAGCCCCGAGGTCGCTTTCCTGGCTGTCGACTCGCCACACTACTTGTAAGGTGCCTCTGCAGTGGCAGCTAACCTCAGCTTGGCATCAGAGCCTTTGGTCCCTTTGTCCTGGCTCCCTAGCGGATAGGCAGGTTGGGGTTGGAGGTGTGGCTAGATTGGTAGAGTGCTAGCCAATGAGCAAGAACATCAGGTACCAAGTTCAAGTTCCAGTCCTAGACCTAAGAGGGGGGGGGGGGAACCAGGCTGGCCCCACAGGCACCTATAGGAGAGGCCGCTGCACAGGCTTACTGGGAAATCTGTCCACCCAGGTCCCAGGTGTGTGGTGGCGGCTGCAATCTGTCTTGGGGATATTAATGACATCTTCACTGGTGGCGACTGCTGTCCAGCTGTTCTGCAAAACTGGAGCTTTCAGGTGAGTGCTAAAGGCAGATGCTGATGGGTGTGGGCAAGATGGCACCAGCAGAACCTGCCAGGTAGGTCCACATTCCTGGCTCTTCCCCTTCAGGTGGTTTGGCAGGGAAGGTTCAAGTAGTCTTCACGTGCACTGTGGTGTTCTTAGGTGAACTGGCTTTACATACTTGGCTTTCCACTAGCATCTTTAAATGAAGTGTTTCCGTTGCAGCTCCTACGCTTTGTTTACAAATGTAGCATGTTGTTGGAAACCTATCTATGATGTATGTTCCCCTTGACCTTATCCAGAGATGCTGAATGACAGGTTTTTGTCCTGGGTCACCCTCAAATTCAAGATCCTCCTGCTTCCATCTCAAGTGCTGAGATTACACGTGTGTATCACCATGCTCAGTCCTAGTTGGTAGTCTTTTTTTTTTTTTTTTTTTTGCTGGTCCTAGAAGGGGCGGGGGAGGCGCCTTGAACTTTGGGCCTCAGTAGTGTCCCTGAACTTCTTTTGCTCAAGGTGGGCACTCTACCACTGCACCACTCGTGGCTTTTTTGAGTAGTTTATTGGAAGAGTCTCGTGCCCAGGTTGATTTCAAACTGTGATCCCCTGATCTCAGCCTCCTGAGTAGCTAGGATTACAGGCATGAGCCATGGGTGCCCTGATAGTTGTCTTCAAAAGTAATAACAGCATCCATTTCCAGAGGTGACCTGCCTGCCAGGCACCTCATGCAGGGGCTTCCATCTGCAAAGCTTTCCTGGCATCCTGCCACAGGCCAGCAGACAGCAACTTTTGCCTCAGTTTATGCCAAATAAGGTGTCAGATTCCATCCCTAAGAGGGGCCTATAAAAAAAGATGTGTCACCCGAGTGGGCAAGGTGCCTGCTGGGCCAGGCAGTGGTGGCCAAGTTGGTGATGGCATTTATAGGGCTCGGCACTGTTCGGTGTTTGCTCAGAATGCATGCATCTGGAATGCACAGGCCGCAGCCTCTGCAGTAAGGCCATGCTCCCTTCTGACGGCTTTCCTCCATGACATGAGCATTTCCCGCATTCACCCCACGGCTTCTGTGGCCTTTGACTCTGATAGCTTTTCCTTTGGTCATGGTTCTCAGTAGGAAACTCATGATATCCTTGTTTGTATTATCACTCAAACTCCTCCAAAAGTCAGTTTTCTTTCCCTTCCTCTGGGGAAATTAAAAGGCCTATTTAAAGCCACCATGCAAATTTTTTTGAAAGCAGGTTAATCTTGATCCATTTTCCCACCAGGGCCTCAAGCTATGACCCAGCCATACACTTAAACTTTGCTTCCTCTTATTTTGCTTGTGACACTGGGGATTGAACTCAAGGCCTTGTGCTGGCCAGGCAGGCAATCTACCACTTGAGCCACCCTCAGCCATTTTGTTTTCTTTCCTTGTTTAAAAAATATAATTTTATTGTTATTATTAAAGTGTTATACAAAGGGGTTACAATTCCATAAGTCAGGTAGTAATTCTTTGTTTTGCTAATAGGGTTTCCTATTTACGCCTAGAAGCCTAGACCACAACCTTCCTATTTATATGCTTCTCACATAGCTGGAATAACATGCATGAACCACTGTGTCAAACGTTTTATTGGCTGAAATGGAATCTCACTTTTTTTCCCAAGCCAGCCTTGAACTGCTATCCAACTAGTAATATCCACCATCAACTGCAGGTGCGACAGGCATGAGCCACTATGCCCATTTATACTTGACATTTTGTTTCCTGCCAGTGTTGGGGCTTGAACTCAGGGCCTCGTGTTCTCACTTAGCTTTTTTGCTTAAGGCTGGCACTCCACCATTTGAGACACAGCTCCACTTTCCAACATTTTGGTGATTAGTTGGAGATGAGTCTCATGGACTTTCTTGTCCAGGCTGGCTTTGAGCCATGATCCTCAGATTTCAGCCTCCTGAGTAGCTAGGACTACAGGTGTGAGCCACTGGCACCCTACTTACACTTTTTTCATGTAGTAAAGCAACTGAACTGTCATTCTAAGCACACGAACCCAATCTAGGCAACTGGAGCTGGTGGTGATTTTGTGCCAGACAAATGACAGGCCTTGGGGATAGTGTGGAAGTGGGGACAAGTATCTTGGTACAGAGTAGATTCTGATGGTGGCTGTTCTGTTCTTTGGGCCACAGGAGTTATAGGCATGAGTATAGAGGAGGCCCATCCAAAACTGAGGATAGAGGACACTGTAAGGGATGATATGGATGATGGCTGTGGAAGAAAGATTACCATCCATCCCTAGGTCTAGACTTGGCTTTGGCTGTGTGGAGCTGTGCACTGACTCAGCCAGGGAGGCTAGAGATTGGTATCTTTGGAGCAGGGAAAGTTATTCCAAACTCCAGAAGACTTCCCCTAGGGGCTACATAGGCCATGGACTTTGTAGCCCAAGGACTTTGAACTTCCTTTTATTATTACAAATTAGCTATCAGTAGTTGAATCAAACTCATTAATTGCAGACCTTTGTGATGAGGTGTGCTGTGCTTATTTAGAGTTGGATGGAGAGATTCTTTGACTTCTGGTGAAAATGAATCAATGAGAAGAGTTTAACTTGGAAAGATATATAGAGATAGAAAAGGCCAGGATGGTTTTTTTCTCAGCACTGGGAGCAAAAAACTGCAAACTGCCCCCCATAGTGGAGGTTTAGGTGATGGTGTGTTCCGTTCTCTTGCAGTATTGTGAGTCCTTTTGGGAAAGGCTTGGTGAAAAGAATCTGTGTCTCTTCACCCGGCTGGCCCACTGGCCTTCATGGTGCTTCATGTTCCCGGATGTCTTTGGATTCTGTTTAAATGTCCTTGTTAATACATTCCAAGGTTTGAACTCCATTCCTAGCTAAACCTCTTCCTTGTTTACAGAGACTGAAATAGCCACATTTTGACCTTGTGTTCATTCTGGGAACATTGATGGCAGTGTGGATACATTCTTTTCCCATGTGAGAATTATATTGACATGGCAAAGTTCTGGAAAGCTCAGGAAACTACTACAGACTCTTGATTCCTTCTCTTCTCCCTTCCTGTACTTCAAAAGATCAGCCTTTCTAATCAGCCAAAATCACTCAGGCCTTTACACTCTTCTTCCTGTACAGAGGTGCAGGGAGAAGAGAACTGAGCTTTACAAAGCTTGACCCTTGCTTCCTCCTTTCCCCCCTCCCTCCCTTTCCCCAGGGAGCTTCCCAAAGCCCCCTCAACACTGGTGGGCAGAGCACAGCATGGGACCCCCAGCAGATCTCCTGGCTCTAAGGCCTGGGTCTTATTAAGACCAAGGGCTGAAGGAAGGAATGAGAGGCAAAGAGGGAACAGCTTACACAAAGCAAAAGGAAAGACATGTACATACCACCCGATGTGGAAGAAATTGTATTGTCAAAGCTCATAGAATTCACAAACATTATAGACCACAATAATGACAATTTCCCTTGTGAAGGTTAAAATGTTTTTGTGGTATCACTTGGGATTCAGCAGCCCTTGGTCTAAAAAAGACCATTAGTGGCTCATTGCTCCCCTTTTATTTGACCTCTTAAGAGTCTTTTTCTGAATGACTTGGTGTTTTTGCCATATCTTCCTACAGGAAGGCCTGTAGGTTGATGGGATCAGGAAGGTGGGCTTCACGAGACAGTATATTTTGTAGATGCACTATAGTTGGTTAGGACCAAAGAAAGTACACACTGTGGGACAAACCTTACACATCTGAGAACAGGGCACAGGAATTTAAGGAAGCATTGTCACCTTGCTGCCAAACACAGAAGACTCAAAGTAGCAAACTTGTGCTGAACAGATGGCCGGACAAAGCTGGCTGTATCAGGGAGTGGGGGTGCCACTCAGTGATGGGTTTGGATTTAAGTATGTTGCCTTTAAGGTCTTGGCGGAAGTGTCCAGGGAGAAGCCGATAGGAATGAGGAAAGCAATGCCCTGCACTTGGCTGTGAACCAGAACGAGGGGGAGGCAAGCAGTGTGCACTTGCTTAGGCTGTTGAGCTTCTGGAAAACAAGGCAGGTATCTTAACTGGCCCTGGGCAAGCCCACCCATGTAAGCACAGTGAGTCTCTCCTTTCTATAACCATTTGGTCCCTTTTGGGACTCCTTTGGTCTGTTGGGATGCAGCATCACGCTGTCTAGGCTGCTTTTCCAAGGTGGCCCTCTTAGGGCCCAGGGGGGGTAACACAAACCCATACTGCTCCCAGAGTCCAGGACTGCCCTGTGCCATCCGCCATGAGTCACTCTAAAGTAGAAGCTCCACTGACTGCAGGGCTTTAGAAAGCTGCCAGGAACGGGGGCTGTGCCAGTTCTGTGAACCAGGGTCCTTGAGTAGAGGAGCCTTTGGCAGTTAAAGGGCAGCAGGTCAGGCATTGGTGAGGACCCCCAAGATGACAAGCATCCTCTTTAATCAGCCTCCTCACATGTGACCTGCATGTACCAAGGATGGGTATGAGAAAACAGTGCGCCCTTTGATCTCCTCACAGAGCATGTGGGCAGGCATCAGAGACAGACAAAAGGAATGAATGTCCTACAGGAGGTTGCTTACTTGTCCATCTTACTCAGAATCCAAGTACAGGGAGCAGTTGGAAGTCAATGGGGTCACCAAGCACAGGGATCCTTCCAGAGCATTTCCAAATCAAGGCACTCTCTTGTTTGAACTCTTATTTCTAGTACTGTTATCTAAAAGCTAGGTTAAAGTTGGGAGCCGGTGGTTCATGCCTGTAATCCTACCTACTCAGGAGGCTGAGTTCTGAGGATTGTGGTTCAAAGCCAACCCGGGCAAAAAAGTCCCCGTAAGACTCATCTCCAATTATACTACTCAAAATCAGGAATGGAGCTGTGGCTCAAACTGAGAGCACTAGCATGGAGCAAAAGAGCTCAAGGACAAGCACCTAGGCACTGAGTTTAAGGCCCCCAAGTACCAAAAAAAAGGAAAAAAAAGAAAAAGATTGTCCCTTTTTCTGATTTCAGGATTTATTGCTAAATATGTTTTCCCAGTCTACCTTCGAACAGTTTTCAATGTTT